CAAGAGGGAGCAAGCCGCCTGCCCCACACTCCAGAACCACATCCCCCCCAGCGCAACATCTACCCCTCCCAACCACTGCTCCCCCCACTGCAATGGAAAGGTCATTGTCAGTCTAAGGGTTTTGGGGCTGCTCAGAACAAGGTATCTGGGTCATAAGTCCAGTGCCAATAGTTGGCTGCAACTGATCCAACTTCAAGTAAATTTAGGGCCAGAACATATATTTAGAGACTAACCGATTCAGAGACACCTAAGCTTTTGTAGACAACAACCTACTTCATCAGAAGCTATCAGATTATCGGATACACACAATAGGATTCTGGTCCACGAATGAGACTCCTAGATGCAACTAAAATACAAAGAAATAATAAAAGGAATGGCAAAGGAGTGAGCATGTGGATATATAATCTATACTGACTACATCAGTTTTAGAGACCAGATAAAGATAGCAGCCATACCAACAAACATGGACTTTCCACAAGCAGTGGTTTATCAGCTAGCACCTGATAAAGCAGGTTCTTGCCTACAAAAGCTCATGCTTCTCTGAAATTATTGGAGGGCATGGACACTGAATACAAGAGACACTGCAGATACTTTAATTCGAGTGGCTCCCAAGAGCCTCTCTAATTAAAGCGCCCCCTTTCCCAACATCCCTAGAGGACATGCAAAGACTAGAGGTGCACCAATGCATCAGTTGCATATCGGATCAGCACTGATAAAAGGAAAATTAACATCATCAGTAAATCAGCTTTCTTTGGCCAGTGCAGCCAAGCTTCACTGATAAATAACATGCCTTCTGGTAAATGGGTGGTAAATGGGACCCAGAGCCAGGAGGCGGGAGGCTCCCCACCATTGCACACACACCCAGAGAAGGCATGAGGGGCCATGTGCCCCCCAGATTTCTGTATGGGGTAGATGCAGACTGCCCAGTGTGGGCTCAGGGTTCTCCGCTCTGCTGCCTTTGCCCCAGGGGCCCTGCGCTGGCTGTGTGCCCCCTGCCTGCCCTGCAACAGTGGGGGCAGCGAACTGTGCCTCCTGTTGCCAGGCAGGCAGGAGGCGCACAGCCAGTGCAGGGCCCCCAGGGCAAAGGTAATAGGGCAGAGAGTCCCAAGCCCACAGCAGGCAGCCTGCATCCACCCTCATCCCACTCGGCTCAACTTTGATTAAAAGCATCCCCCATGCTTAAAGATGGTCGCGGGAGTTCAAGCACCCCCAGAGCCATTTTTAAGTGCTGGGATGCTGATCTCCTGGACAAGCCGCCCACGGCTATGTCCCACTCCCCACCTTGACCCTGGGTCCTATTCACTGCCCTAACTGGGCAGCACCCCCCAACCCCCCTCCCTCACCATAGGGGCTTCAAATCTACCCCCCCACACACACCTCTTCCTCTCCACAGACTTACCTGCAAGGAGCTGCTCTTCATACTGCCTAGCTGCAGTCCTGTTAATCAGTTATTGGATTGGTATCAGCTGATATGACTGGTTAATATTCAAGTATCAGTACAGGCCAAGAAAATCTTTATCAGTGCACCCCTGGCAAAGACGCCCTAAGGTATCACCCTCACTTATGTTTTCATAGGATCATAGGAAAGTAGGGATGAAACGACCTCACAAGCTCATCTAGTCCAGTCCCCTGCTCAAGACAGAAGCATCGCAAACTAAACCATTTCAGCCAAATGTCTGTCCAACCTGCTCCTGAAATTTTCCAGGGAAGGAAATTTTTCCAGCAGTGAGATTTTTAGGAAGCATGGGCAGCGGAATGGACTGGTTCATGTGGAAGTCTGAAGCCATCCAAGATAGAAATTTAGTAAACGAGGTACTTCTTACTCTGCCCACATGATCCTGTGCAATTAATTAGCTTCTGAGATTCAGTTCTCCATTGATAACATGGGAATAAATTAATATTGCCTTATATGCCCAGTAGTGGAAGAAAAAGAACGTACGTGTATAACAAATACTGAAGCATTTACTGAACCTTTGTTGAGCTGCTAACAGCTACTGGAGAAGAAATGCTTGGAGAGAATGCTGAGCTAAAGGAAAACCCTGTCTGCCTCCAGTGCCAGTATAAGTGGGTCACTCACCCAGCTTCCTTAGTTAAGCCAGCCAGCTCTCAGTTCAGTCTTTCAAAACAGTCTTTATTCCTCTCAGAGAGGTTTCACAACCATAATAAGTGAGTCAACCGAGCAAGGGGGGAAAAAAAAAAACCAAAAAAACAAAAACATGCAAGCAAGCAAGCAAGCAAGCCAGCCAGAACCTGCTGGCCTCCTGCAGACAAGGAGAGATTTTTCTGGCTCCGTGCTTCTTCTCAACACCACAGGTATCCTCTCCTCTTCACCCCCTTCTGGAGTTTTTAAATCCTCTTCATGACTCCTCTCTCATTAGCTGCCAGCAGTTCCAGCCCACCCCTAGTCTCCCAGCTAGGCAGATTAGCAGCTGCTGCTGAGAATCTGCAGCGGGGCTGAGTCTTAGAGGTCCAACTACCTCCTTAGAGCCAGTCAGAGCAGTATCTGTTCATCCTAACATCAAAAATGCTTCAAGGAACAAGGATATAAATCAAATTAATGTAACTGCCTCTAGGAGTAACAGCACTGAACTGAAACAGTATTACCTATGCTTAACACAGTACGGAGTTGTTATATAAAACTATTAATTGGCACTTTTGAGGACAGTAGCATCGATAAGATTACAAACTATTTACATTCAAACATGTGACAGCATCACATTACATTTAAGTCCTTGGAACCTGCAGAATTAAGATACACTGTTCATCAAGTTTTCAGAGTCAGCTAAATGGAGATTTTGAGTGTGTAAACAGTCATTCAATTTAGATGTACACATTCAAATGTGCATTTTAATAAAAAATTGTTTGTTTTTTTTTACAAAAATGTCACTAACGTGACAATGTTATTCCAAATCAACTAGAGTGTATCAGTAATGTTATTAATACAACATCCACTGGTATATTTGTAATTGTGTTGACACTTTCATTATAAATACCATTTCTGAAGAGTTTAAAATTAGTTAAAGCTGGAAATTAGCAAAGCTGCTGCCCATGAGGATGTTCATTTTGGGCTGTAGGACATCAAAAAACAACACATTTTTGCTTTAACATAACTGAAATTGAAGATCAAAAAACAGCATGACTTAACAGAAACTTACTGTGCAAAAACAAAAACAAAAAACACCCCAAAAAAAACAAAGCTTTTCTAAAATATAGAGCAGAGCATCATCACAGAACACATTGAATACTACAGTCAAAGCCAAATATAAGCATACACCAAAATACAGGCAACAATTCTTTTAAAACAATTATTTATTAAGCAGTACAACTATAAACAATTTTACAGATTGTTACAAGTACCAGAAACAATACTAGCCATTATAAAAATGAACTGAAATATATTTTGCTTCGGGAGACATTATGCTACAATACAGTTGTCATATTTCTCTCTCTGACATGTAGGATGATCCTCCCTACATAACCAAAGACTGTCGCCATATATTTTCTTACACAAGAGGACACTTCTGTCAAATCAACAAACCAAAACAAATATATTACATCTCATATTCAAAATATTTATCAAATTCAATCGTTTGGCTTTTTGCCAGCAAATATATTCTATCCAAGTACTAAATAAACAGTAACTAAATACAGAAGTTTTTCTCCTTTCTAAGCATCTAATGGATTTTTTTGAACCATTCCCAAATTTGGGGCATTTTTTTTCCCCCAAGGAAACTCTGAAAAGATTATAATGGATCAAATGATAATAAATGCCTCCAAAATAAGTATTTATGTCACAAATTAAATTCCAATTTTTATTTAATAATTGCATATGTTCACCAATTTCTCTACAACTTCTCCGACATATATGCCATCCATATTATTCATACTATTACACACACCCTACCCCATCACATACTTAAAAAAATACAAAAACAAACACACAATTCAATGACTATGCACTAGGTTGAACTTCAGTGCTTGAAAGACTCCCTATGGTATAACCACATTCATTCACGCACATTCTGGAAGCACAGCCATATAAGATAAGTCAGAAGCAGAGGCAGAATGCAAATTAGAGAAAACCTGGGACTATGCTACTAAACCAGTGATTCTCAGCCAAGGTAACATGGCACCCTAGAGTGACAAGTGCCATGGGATGCCATGCAATAGCAGCACTGTTGGGTATATGAACATGATTAACAAGATAAACCCAGAGATTACAATAGGAATCCATAGTGTCAAAAACATTATAAGCTGCTGTGGTTTTTCTGAATTCTTTGCAGCCAAATAACTGCTCTATTTTTTTCCATAGTCAAAAAACAAGTGAAAGCTAAGAGCTGGCAATTTCCAAGGGGTATCTTGTTGAGACACATTACCAGACTGACCCGCTCTTCCACCCACATGCACCAGAGTGTCACCAGATGTTTCTTGCCCCTGCTTCTGGGCTGCCACTGCTGCTCTCCATCCAATCCACAGCACACCTCATTTTTCCTGCATGCCTTATCCGCACAGGCTGTGCCTGTACTTGCTTGCATACTACTAACCCCTGCATAGTGGTATCCGGACAAGGGATGACCAGGTATGGCGCGCGGGGGGACGGGACACGGGACGACACACACGGAAAGAGTCGGAGGTCCCTGCTTCTTCATTCTGGGGGCTGGTTGCTTTGGGACTCGCCACAATCTCTGCCTCACACCACAACTTTAAAAAGATGTTCCCTAGAAAACCAAAGTGACATATTGTACTTGAATCCAAAACAACTTCAAAATTTAAGATGACCACCCCCCAATAATGACACTCTATATACAGAAGAAATATAATTATAACTTTCCAAGTATAGAATCCAATCAGTGAAAAAAGCATCTTAAATTTGTAGGTCATCCCCTCCCCTCATTGCTGTGGTAAGAAAACAGCAAGGGTTAAGGGGCCAGATTCCAGTCTCTTGCTCCCAGGCCCCTTGTCCCCTCATGCCTGTACCCCATGCCTGACCCTGCCATATGCCCCTCTGTTCTTGCTCCCCTGCCCTCCTCCCCCTTACCCCCTGTGCCTGTGCCTACCCCTACATCCCCTGCCTTCCCTACCCCCTACTCCTCCCTGTAGCCTGCCTCCCCAACTCTGTTCACCCTCTCCCCGCCTCCTGCCCACCCCCAAACCTACTACAGCTCTGCGTCAGATCAGGGCACTCAGGAGCAGCAGTGGCCCTGCCCTGGCCAATCAGGAAGAAGAGTAGCTAGTTAACCTGCAGTTGCAGCTACTTTGCATCACGGGACAAAAAAGCCAGGATTTTGTCTTGATTTGACAAGTGACTTTTTAACTTTTCGTTAATACATGGGTGGCCAACCTGCAGCACACATGCCACAAGTGATGCAGGTAGGCTCTGTTTGTGGCATGCAGCAGATCAGGCAGGGACCAGAAAGCAGAGGAAGGGGACCAGAGTTACTCAGGGAGGGCACAGGCTTAATTTAAAGCATGCCTGCTAACAAAAGATCATTCCCCCCTCCCCCCCAGCTTTAATAAGTTGCTTTATTAAATTTAAGAGTAGAGGTGCAGTAACTTGTAACTGTTTTATTTATCTGAACAAATTCACCCATCCAAATGGCTTTTCAGCAGGTGCTTTTTCAAGGGATTCAGATAACCAAGGAGGTATTGTATTCAGGGTAATAATATGTTAGGCATGTGTACAGTTGGCTGTAATCATAATACAACACAATACCAATAGAACCATAAAGGTCCAAGTGAAGGTACTGGTCTAATGGAAAGTTGATCCAATTAAAGATATAACTTACAGAAAAATTCAAAGGGTTTAATAAACAACATGAGAATTGTATCTAACCCATGGATCTCTACATCTTCAGACTTTTCTTCATATAAATATGAAGAAAGGTCCTCTCTGCTACTCTTCTTTCTGAAGGGCGAATACATATTTCTGGAGGACATTCTTTCTTAATTTAGTTCACATAAACTCAATGTTCCTGTTTAATAGAGACCAGTGTTTGGCTGAATTACAGAGTTCCCAACCCACTAGCACTATTCAATTGACTGCCTTGATATTGTTGTATTTGTCCAAGCACAGCCAGAAATAAAGTGAGGGTAGCCAGGCACTAAAAGAGGCTACCTAAAGAAACAGTGGTATCTCCATCCTTGGAAACTTTCAGAAGCAAGTTAGACAGACACTTGGTTGGGACAGCTTAGCCAGGTGGCCTGTACTGACCAGAGGGCTGGACTCAATGGAGGTCCCTTCCAACACCACTTTCCTACGATCCTAAAATTACTTAAGCCACTGGTGTTGGTAAGAGTGCCGCCATTCTGCCCAACACTGAATACAGTTTTACTTTTATGTTCAAAATAAGTGATATTCAACAATACATTAAAGGAAAAAAAACAAAACTTAAGCTTAGCTCCTCATGGATATAGTCAAATACTACATTGAAATTTCTCTCATATGCCATCATACAAAGCATTTAGAACAGGTAGGTCATCCTGATTAAGATCTATATAAAGTATCTAGGCTCATGTATTTTCTTGTTCCATGTATATTTTATCATCATTTTCTGTACACCTGCTAGTCATTTTTTTTAAATATATCCCAGACAAAAATGTTAAATTTTGACCAAATATTCACCTTGCATAAATTCCCCCTAACACTCCTCCTCTTTTGTTTATTTTGCAGAGTGATACTTTAATAATTACAGCATTATAGATCTAACTTCTGTGAATTCCCAAATATCGAGGATGCACTACTCATTTATACCCAAATGATTTCTAAAGAGCTAACTTCTCTAAGTCTGCCAAATTTAAAGCTAACATACCAGACTTTGCACATATTTTAAAGGCTAGATGTTTTCTCAAAATCATGAATTCCTTTACATAACTCTATGTAAATGTTTAGCATGACAGACAGACAGACAGACAGACAGACACCCTCCCTCCCTCTTTTCTTTAGGTAGCCTCTTCCAGTGCCTGACCACCCTCACTTATATATATCCCTCTCTTTACCAAAGAAGCTGGACTTACAACTCATAACTGCTACCTCCCATTTTGAATCCTTGCTTGAAAGAAAGCAAAGCTGAAGTGACTCTCCAAGGTGCAAAACCTAGGCAGTTTATATGGAGATAGGAAGTTGTCAGGGTGTCCCCCATCCGCCCCCACCCCAGCCTTGCTGGTTAAATCCAAAAGGAAGGTAGGTGCCGGTACATTTGGAACCAGTTTGCTTGCAGGAGGTGCCAGAGCAAAGGAGATCATCCATCTGTCCATCTATCAGAGTTCCACTCCTAGACTGGCTGCTGAACAGGGTTAAGAGAGCCCAGTCTACACTATCACTAGGCAGAATTCAATTTTTGTTTTAATAATTCTGACAGATAATGTTGATTTTATTTTTAAGCATTTAGTTTTATCAGTTTACATTTTCAGAATTGTGCAGTTTAACTGCCTGCCGTGACAGACATAACTGTATAACTACTGTAGGACTGCCACTAGCTGCGCAGCAGAGCTGCCATCAGTCCCAGCTTGGCTCACCTATAGCTCCCTCACCCACTTTGTTACTTCCTCCTCCTAGAGGCTGGCCAATTATTTAACCACTGCCTGGCACTCAGTGTTAACGATCATAGGTAGTACCAGCTACTATAACTTTTCAGTATATTATAAAGTGATGTAAATTTATATCCACACAGACTGTGCAAGTGAGTGGGCAAGTAAACATAATTCATTTGGTGGAGAGGGGCTCTACAGGACCAATGGGAGACATTATTGTAATCCCGTTGGTCAATTATTGCCCATCTAAAGCTGGGCAGCCCCCAGCCAATAAGCTGCTGATGCACCATGGTTTGCTTACTCCAATTGGTGCCTGGAGCCAAGAGAAAACTCAAAAGGCAGATTGCGTCATTGCACAAGACAAAGAAAAGAAAAAAAAATCATCAATACGCCGTATTTCAACATGGAACATTAGGACCATGTGTACTGACCTGACTGACAATCTTGTGAATATTTTGATGCTCATGAGGCAGCTGTGATAAATATGGAATTAAACAAGTTGAACACTGACATTGCAGTACTGCAAAGAAACACGCCTGGCCTCAGATGACTCCTTAAGAGAAAAATACTACAAATTCTTATGGCAAGGAAAAGCTCCCAAAGATGCACATGAACATGGTGTAGGCATTGCAGTTAGAAACGATCTTCTCAAAATGAATGAAAATCCATCAAATGGTTCTGGAGAGGATCCTCACAACTCCACTTTTATATGTTAGAAGGTACAGTCCACTTAGTAAGTGCCGATGCTCCAACACTCTACTCTTTTGCTGAGATTAAGAGACAGGTTTTACAAAGAACTGGCTAGTGTTCTCAGTAAGACTCCAAATACTGAGAACTTGCAACTCTTGGGGGACTTCAATGCCAGAGTTAGTGATAACAGTGAATCCTGGTCAACTAGCCTGGGCTAGCATAACATGGAGAGTATAAACGACTAGCCGGGGGG